GAATCTGACACTCACAGGACATATTGAAAGGAAAAGGGACAGAGGGAAACAATGAGTAACCTACCTAATTAGTTTGCATGAATAGATGGCAGAGCAGGGAAAGACAAATCTAACTAAAAGCTACAAAGTATAAAATGTTGTGGAGAGCACTGACCACTCATGTCTTAAAGGAAAAAGACACATAAAAAAGAAGAATTCAAGGAGCATAATGTATTGCAAGTGTTCTGCTAACTTTGTAATGAAGTTTATAGTAATGTCTGTGCTGGGCATGACGATAAACTACATCTGGCAGCAAGACCTCTGATCAGGAGATTTTGAGGAACATAGAACAACCTCTTAATTGCTGTTGTTCCCAGGTCTACCCTGACCCAAGGTGTTAGCACCTGTTCAGGTCCCTGCTATAGGTAAATAGTTAGCACTCAAACTGGGGTCAAAACACTATGAAAGTATAAAAATGGATTTTTATAGGGAATATACCAGCAATACATCTGAATTTTGACAAGAACCCTTTTTATAAAAATACGTCAGTGAAACCTGATCTCCCACAAACTGATTTTTTACAAAGAATACATATTCTATTCATACGAACCTACCCTAAAAATCTTGTCAGCATTAAATAACCCATTGAGGTTGGTATGCTATAAAACAAAATAAACCAAACTAGTAATTGAAGTGAGATTAATCAGACTGATGTAAATAGATATTAAGTTCTATTTTTATAATTGGACTTGTGGGGATATTGTAATGGTTAACAACAAGGAAAATGAAATCAGCAAACAGTTCAAATTTCAACTGAATCAGTTTATGATCTAGTTATGCTAACCCTTAGAAATTGCATGAATCCATCTCTTCGAATAACACAGGTCATAGTTCAAACCCTACTTCCAAGAAATAAAGAGCAGAGTAGTAGTAGAAAGACTAAACATTATCAGCACGAGAAAAAACCGAAGATGCCAGTTGCCATTTGGAGATATAAACATCAAACCAATTTAAATATCTGGGAAACATTTTAACAGATGATGGAAAATGTTACACTGAGATTTGAAAATTCATTGGACTAGTAAAAGAAACATTCCAAAAGATCATTAAAGTACTGAGAAACAGAAACATTTTGTAAGAAACAAATGCTGGATTGTTATGAGATATTCATGTTCTTATATGTCAGTGAATGTTGGACAATCTCTTTGTTGGTAAATAGGAAACTAGAGGCAGCTGAAATGTGGTTCTACAGGATACTGAAAATTCCATGGATGGTGTCAGTAAGCTACAAGGAAGTCTTAAAGAAAATGGTAACAGAAAGAATACTTATAATCAGAATCAGGAAAATATAGCCCAAATTCCTTGGATACACAATGAGGGTTTGGAAAACTTAACCTTTATGGGGGTCGATTGTGGTCAGGAGAAATAGGAAATATTTGTCTTGGCCATATTGTCTTGCTGGGTAATAAAGAAGAGCAAAAAGAGAAGACCAGGTATAAACAAACACAAAAGTTTGAGAATTTTAGGTCAGAATTTTTTTTCAAAATTAGATTTGAGGTTTGTTAATTTCTTTAAAATTTTTTGTTAATATAAAAAATGTTGTTACCTTGTGATCTGCTTGAAAATTTTTTTTCTATACTCTCTCATTCTATGTTTTGTTCTATACATTCTTATACTCTCTTCTGTTTTTTTCTTCTATACTCTCTTCTTCTGTTTTTTTCTATACTCTCTTCAGTTTTTTCTTCTATACTCTCTTCTTCTGTTTTTTTCTATACTCTCTTCTTCTGTTTTTTTCTATACTCTCTTCAGTTTTTTTTCTATACTCTCTTCTGTTTTTTTCTTCTATACTCTCTTCTTCTATTTTTTTTTCTATACTCTCTTCTTCTGTTTTTTTCTATACTCTCTTCTGTTTTTTTCTATACTCTCTTCTGTTTTTTTCTATACTCTCTTCTTCTGTTTTTTTTCTATTCTTCTTTTTTTTACTTTTCTTTTTTTTCTCTCTTCTTCTTCTGTTTTTTCTCTCATTTTTCTTCTGTTTTTTCTTCTATACTCTCTTCTTCTATTTTTTTCTATACTCTCTTCTTCTTTTTTTCTATATCTTCTGTTTTTTCTTCTTCTTCATTTTTTTCAATACTCTCTTCAGTTTTTTTTTCTTCTCTCTTCTATTTTTTTTTCTCTGTTTTTTTTTCTTCTACTTCTTCTTTTTTTTTCTATTTTTTTTTTTTTTCTACTCTCTTCTTCTATTTTTTTCTATTTTTCTTCTTCTTTTTTTCTTCTGTTTTTTTTTATACTCTCTTCTTCTTTTTTCTATATCTCTTCTTCTGTTTTTTTATATCTCTTCTTCTGTTTTTTCTATACTCTCTTCTGTTTTTTTTCTATACTCTCTTCTTCTGTTTTTTTTTTCTCTACTCTCTTCTATTTTTTTCTATACTCTCTTCTGTTTTTTCTATACTCTCTTCTTCTGTTTTTTCTATTTTTTCTTCTCTTTCAGTTTTTTTATACTCTCTTCTGTTTTTTTCTATACTCTCTTCTTCTGTTTTTTTCTATCTCTTCTTCTGTTTTTTTTCTTCTATACTCTCTTCTTCTTTTTTTTTCTATACTCTCTTCTTCTGTTTTTTCTTTTTCTTCTATATACTCTCTTCAGTTTTTTCTTCTATACTCTCTTCTTCTGTTTTTTTCTTTCTCCTTCTGTTTTTTCCTTCTTCTTCTTTTTTTTTCTATGCTCTCTTCTTTTGTTTTTTTCTATACTCTCTTCTTCTTCTTTTTTCTATGCTCTCTTTCTGTTTTTTTATACTCTCTTTTTTTTTTCTCTCTTCTGTTTTTTTCATACTCTCTTCTTCTGTTTTTTTTACTCTCTTCAGTTTTTTTTCTATACTCTTCTTCTGTTTTTTCTTCTATACTCTCTTTCTATTTTTTTTCTATACTCTTCTTCTGTTTTTTCTATATTTTTTCTATGCTTTTTCTATACTCTCTTCTTTTTTTTTTCTATACTCTCTTCAGTTTTTTTTTTTTCTTCAGTTTTTTTATACTCTCTTCTGTTTTTTTTCTATACTTCTTCTTTTTTTCTATGCTCTCTTATTTTTTTTTCTATGTATGTTTTTTTTATACTCTCTTCTTCTTTTTCTATGCTCTCTTAATATGTTTTTCTGTATGTTTTCTTATTCTATATGTTTTTTCTGTTCTCTCTTCTTCTATGCCTTTTTTTTATATTCTCTTCTATGCTTTTTTCTATACTCTCTTCTGTTTTTTTTTTCTATACTCTCTTCTGCTTTTTTCTACACTCTCTTCTTCTGTTTTTTCCTTACTCTCTTCTGTTTTTTCTGTACTCTCTTCTGTTTCTTTCTATACTCTCTTCTTCTATGTTTTTTCTATGCTCTCTTCTGTTTTTTTCTATGCTCGCTTCTTTTGTTTTTTTCTATAATTATCACAAAGTAAAGAAAGGGATCGTCCGATGCTTACAACACCGAGCAAAAGTCATAAGTGGCGATCCAGAGACGTTAGATAAGGAATTGGTCAGTATAAGTAATACCCTACAACGCAACAACTACCCTGGGTACATGGCAGCAGCCCCCAAAAACTGGGATAGGCGGGTACAAGAGGAGGAAGAGGACAACAACACTCAGAAAACAGTCTGCCTGCCTTATGTGAAGGGGTTATCAGAGAAAATACAAAGGATCTGCGGTCCATATAACATCAGGACAACCTTCAAAAGTGTGACAACACTTCGCAGATATCTCTCATGAGTGAGACCCCCCCCCCAGAGGGGAACATGACTAAAGACTGTGTGTACGCTATCCCGTGCAGCTGTGGAAAGAAATATAAAGGAGAGACAGGCTGCCCCCTCAAGGTAAGACTTCAAGAACGCCAGAAAGCTGTAATGTGAAGGGAAGTAGAAAAATCAGGTGTGGCTGACCACATATGGAAAGAGAAGGGAGATCACCGCCCCCTGTGGGATCATGTTGAGATCATAGCCAGGAAACACCATTGGAAAATTTGTAAACTTAAGGAATCAGCACATATGCTAGGCCACAAAAATCTCCTGAGCTGACCAAGCATAGAAATAAATACAATATGGGAACCAGTAATAAGGAGTGCCAGAGGAAAGCAATGATAACAAAGTTGCAATATGAACTCTGGTAAAGACATGCAATGATAACAGCAAAAATTGCAATATGAGCACTGGTAAAAAATGATGCTGAAAACATTAGGTTTATAATACTCAGAAGTTCATACCCAGATGTCCTCAAGGACACGGCACGTTGGTTAGATCCAGTGACAGACCCAAAGAAGGTGAGTTCAATACCTGGTTAAGGCAGTGGAGAACTTTCAGAAAATTAGCAGGAGATAACTGATAACTGACATCCATCAAACATGGCACCAGTGATCAAAATAAAGGGTTCAGTTCGAAATTCCAACCACCTGAAGAAGTTGTGACAAAATTTGGCGACAAAGATGAGGACAATAGTCCGACTAATGTAAAAACTGTACATAATACCTCATCTCAGAAATATAGACAGACTCTCTTATTCTATGCTTTTTTCCCATACTCTCTTCCTCTATGCTTTTTTTCCATACTCTGTTCTTCTATGCTTTTTTCTATACACTCTTTTCTTTTTTTTCTATACTCTCTTCTTCTATATTTTTTCTATACTCTCTTCTGTTTTTTTCTTTACTCTCTTCTTCTAATTTTCTTTACTCTCTTTTTCTGTTTCTTTCTATACTCTCATCTTCTATGTTTTTCAATACTCTCTTCTGATTTTTTTCTATATTCTCTTCTGTTTTTTTTTATACTCTCTTCTTCTGCTTTTTTTCTATACTCTTATTCTATGTTTTTTCCATACTCTCTTCTTCTATGCTTTTTTTCATACTCTCTTCTTCTATGCTTTTTTCCATACTGTCTTCTTCTATACTTTTTTCTATACTGTTGTATTTTATGTTTTTTCTATACTCACTTCTGATTTTTTTCTATACTCTCTTCTGTTTTTCTATACTCTCTTCTGTTTTTCTATACTCTCTTCAATATGTTTTTCTGTACTCTCTCATTCTATATGTTTTTCTATACTCTCATCTATGACTTTTCTATACTCTCTTATTCTTTTTTTTATATACTCTCTTATTCTATATTTTTTCTATACTCTCTTATTCTATATTTTTTCTATACTCTCTCATCTATGTTTTTCTATACTCTCTCATCTATAGGTTGTTTGTACTCATTTTCTATATGGTGTTACTAGACTCTTATTCTATATGTTTTTTCTGCACTCTCTTATTCAATATGTTTTTTCTGTACTTTCTTATTCTATATGTTTTTTTTGTACTCTCTTATTCAATAATTTTTATACTCTCTTATTTTATATGTTTTTGTTACTCTCTTATTCTATATGTTTTTCTATACCCCCTCATCTATATGTTTTTCTATACCCCCTCATCTATATGTTTTTCTATACCCCCTCATCTATATGTTTTTCTATATTCTATGTTTTTTCATCTATTCATATTTTTAGATACTCTTATTCTATATGTTTTTTCTGTCATCTATATGTTTTTTCTTATTCTATGTTTTTTCTATACTCTCTTATTTTTTCAATATTATATGTTTTGTATACTCTTATTCTATATGTTTTTTTATTCTTATTCTATGTTTTTTTCTCTTATTCCCTTTTTAGATACTCTCTTATTCTATATGTTTTTTTTCTATACCCTCTCATCTATATGTTTTTCTATACCCTTTCATCTATATGTTTTTCTATACCCCCTCATCTATATGTTTTTCTATACCCTTTCATCTATATGTTTTTCTATACCCTCTCATCTATATGTTTTTGTATTCTCTTATTCTATATATTTTTCTATACCCTCTCATCTATATGTTTTTCTATACCCTCTCATCTATATATTTTTGTATACTCTTATTCTATATGTTTTTCTATACCCTCTCATCTATGTGTTTTTGTATACTCTTATTCTATATGTTTTTCTATACCCTCTCATCTATATGTTTTTTCTATATCTCATCTTATTTTTGTATACCCTTATTCTATATGTTTTCTATACATCCTCATCTATATGTTTTTGTATACTCTTATTCTATATGTTTTTCTGTACTCTCTTATTCTATATTTTTCTGTACTCTCTTATTCTATATTTTTTTATACTCTCTTATTTTATGTTTTCGATACTCTCTTATTCCCCATAAAAGAAAGCTGTAAAAACGTTAGAAAAACTCAATAAGAAAATTAATAAAATCTTTCTTGTTCAAGTGACATACCTCCAATTTCATTAACCATATGACTACAAAATCAGTGGTACATCACACCTCCCTACCAAAAAGAAAATAAGTGCCACCAATGGTAGGCTTTTTTAACCATGGTTGGTTTACCCAAGGTGGTACAGTCAGACCAGGGACCCAACTTCATGTCAGTGGTGTTCCAACAAGTTATAAGAACCTTGGGTATAAAATCCATTAAGTCCAGTGGCTATCATCCCCAATCCCAAGGTGCCTTTGAGAATTTTCACTCCACCATGATGAGCATGATGCAAACATACTAGCTGGACCACCAACATGATTGGAATGAAGGTATCCCATTCCTAATATTCACTGCTCATGAATCTGTACAGGAATTTTTAAGGTTCAGCCTATTTGATCTAATATTTGGATATTCAGTTCGCAGTCCTTTAAAAGTGCTAAAAGAGGGCTGGTTGTGGGAAGACCCAACAACAGAGAATTTGCTGGATTATCTTTCCCAATTCTGGACTTGACTAACAGAAACATGTGAACTAGTCTATAAGAACCTCCGGTTAGTTCAACATAAAACAAAGGTGCTAATTTTATTACCCTTGCTGGGACATCCCCTCAAAGCTCAATCCCATGGTCTGTATGAGGTGGCCAGAAAAGTCAATGATCTCAACTACATTGTAAGAACTCCTGATTGAAGACAGTCACCGCAGATGTGTCACATCAACATGCTCAAGCCCTCCTATGAATGAGGAATGATCAACCATATATGGTATATTATTGGACTTAGTCCTATGCCTGAGCTGACAGAGACCCGAGGAGGAGTTGCAGAAAGGAGTGACCACCCCATCAAACTTTACAACTCCAAGATCCTAGCTGATCTAAGCATGAAACTGTTGCATTTAGCTCTTAAAGAGAGGAAGGATTTAACTGCCTTTATCAGGGATTTCAGGGGCTTGTTCCCCAACGTACCCAACCAAACCACCAATACCTACCATGATGTGGAAGTAGAAAATGCCAACCCCATTAAACAGTATCAGTACTGAGTCAACTCGTAGAAAGCCAATATCCTAAATACAGAAGTAGCCTACATTCTAGGGAATGGCATTTTCAACCATAGCTGAAGCAATTGGTCCTCCCTCTGCATGCTGGTGGACAAACATGACGGCTCAGTTCAGTTTTGCATTGACTACCAGTAGGTGAACTCTATCACTAAGACCGACTAATACCCCTTTCCCCAGATAGGCAACTGTATCGATAAAGTAGGCAAGGGCAATTTTTATTACAAAACTTGACCTGTTGAAGGGATATTGGTGTGTGACCCTGACTGAGCATGCTAAGGAGATCTCTGCTTTCATGGCTCCTGATAGCTTGTACCAATATAGCGTGATACTTTTGGGATGAAAAATTCTCAGGCCACCTTCCAGCAAATGATGAACCACTGTCTATGAGATCTGTCTGGAGTTGAGATGTACATCGATGATATAGTCATGCGCAATAACACTTGGGTGGATCATATGATATCTCTGCAAAAGGTTTTTGATCGGTTGAGGCATGCCAACCTCGCCATTAATCTTGCAAAAAGTGATTTCTGCCAAATCAAGATATCGGATATATTGTCAGCCATGGGCAGATGACTACAACTGAGGCAAAAATACAAAGTATAGTAAAGTAACCTGCCCCAATCAACATAAAAGACCTGAGAAAATTTCTCGGAATAGTGAGTTATTATCGCAAGTTCTGTAAGAATTTCTCTAATGTAGACTCACTACTTACCCAATTATTGAAGAGGAAAGCCAAATTTGATTGGTCACCCCCACCACTGTCAGCAATTTTTTTGTCAAATAAAAACCTTGTTGTGCTCAGACCCTATCCACAAAGCTTCTGAGTTTACCTGACCATTCAGCTTAGGCATAGATGCAAGTGACCATGGTATTGGTGCTCTGTTACTACAGACCAATATAAATGGTATAGAACATCTTGTCAGTTATTTCTCAAAAAAATTTAACACTAACCAGAGAAATTACTCTACTGCAGAAAAAGAAACTCTTGCCCTTTTGCTAAGCATACAACTTTTCAAAGTGTATGTGTCTTCATACAGTAAGCCTACCTTAGTATATACTGACCCTAACCCGCTAACCTTCCTCAGAGCATGTTATCTAGCAGGATCAACATTCTAAGCAAGGCCAGCAAACCCTCAGTCATGATGACTTGTGACTTTTTGCTAGCACAATCATTGACGGCTCCCCAAAGAGTTCTTCACAATTGCACATACAAGACTTGGGTCAACCCATGGTATGGTTTTTCAGGCATTTCACCTTCGTGACAAATCAACCACGGTAAGATTCAAAGCTGGTTCTTGTAGTCATAACAAGTATCATTTGCTTCATCAAGAAATGTTGAATTATCATTATTCTTCTTCTATGGGCCATGTCCTTTTAAAATGTTAGCATTCATGGCTCTGCACAATTACTTGTCTTTTCTGGCTCTTAATAAATTTTGTCTTTTTGTTATCTCACCTAAATCTTGCTCTGCCATCCATTTACTCAAGCTCACTGGGTAGGTTATGCATTGTTTTCATCTCTTCTACTTGTCTTTCTGCTTTGATCTCTGTTTCCACCAAAAACTGAAGAGTCATTATCCTCCTTTTTGTTGTTTATTTTATTTCCACAATATTTCAAATGAATGTTTCAGTCTTCTCATCCATCATTTCTAGTGACTTTAGGATGGTTGGTTGTTCATGGGATGGTTGTGTTTTGATTTTTGTTCTGAACCAATGATTTCCCAATGAATTTAAAGTTCCAGAAGCATGACTCAAGAATTGGGAGAGTCAGCAAAGTTCAATGGGTTCATTTGAAGGTCACAGGTTCAGTATATAAATCAGAAGATAATCTCGGGAATACACAGGTGTAAATGACCAGACATTACATGTATAAGATGACAAAGCCATTGCCTTTTCAGAGAAAGCATTGAGCATTTCCACACACAAGAAAGATCAAAGGCTATACAATTGAAATGTGAGAACAAGAAATATAGGAAAATTTACTTAAAATGAAAGAAAAAACAGGAGGAAAATTTTCTAATGTCAACATACTTCATCTTTAGAAGAACTTTATCAAGACAAGTGGGGAAATTTTACTTGGTAACTTGTATTTATACACAGAAAAAATATTAAGTATTCAAATTTTGAATGAGAGAAATCTCTAAAATACTGAAAATGCTTACTGTGTAAGAAAGGAAAAACATTGAATGACGCTAAGTGACATAATCAATTAAGTGACATAATCAATTAAGTGACATAATCAATTAAGTGAAATTGATTTAATGTTGTTGTTATTGAGTTTTTATATATGTAATTATTATTATTTATTTATTTTTACTTTTTTTATTTAATAATTTTTTACTTTTTAAAGGATATGGGTTAACCATTTTCTTTGAAATTTTTATGGGCATGTATAAACATAAATTTTATCATCATGCAGATCAGCCTATATGCAAATGGGTGCTGAAAAGTTCTCAGCATAACCTACTTCCCAAAATAAATGTTTCAATGACCAGACAGAATTTTTTTCTAAGGGTTAAGTAAGTTGAGAAATAATATTTCAAGTATTTTGAACATCAGTGTGAGTATGTGCAAGAGAATGTACATTTCATAGATTGATGTCATTCTTTTTGCAGGCTGAGAATTTTTCAGTGCTTTCTCATGCAATGATATGAATATCTTACGAAAAAAGAAATAAAACCATCAGCCAGTATCTATTTTAACATCTTCAGCATCAACATGTGTATGGCGGATAAAATGACAACAAGGTAACAATTTCAAAAAGGGGATGTTACATAACTAATATCATTTGGTATGTAACAAATAGCTAAAACATTATTTTTTTATAGCTGGCCACTCGTATTCGAGGATACCTGTCTACTAGGTTAGCTAACAAAAATCTCAGTTCAGGACCAATGGTATTGTAGATTTTATCAAGAATCGCTTAATACATAGCAGAAGTGCCAGACCAGATGTAATGGTAATGTAAATATGTAAAATAGATTCTAGTGAAAAAAGTTGTCTTGCTTGACACAATGAACCAACATCAAACCTAGCAACTGATTCAATATCTATATACTTTATGTCAATGTAAAATGTTAACCTATGAAGACACAATGAGTCACTTTCCTGGGGGTTATGTTGAAAATATTTTCTGTATAAAATACTTTTTTTTAATCATTATTATGTTATTGTATTTGACTCTGTAAATGTTTATATAGCGTATAAATTCACAGCTTCACTACACTAGATGTTGCTGCTTCCCGTAGCAAGGAGGTTCTTCATAGAGTAGCATTGCTTGCCCTATACCCAACCTATTGCAAATTCGGAGCTATCCTTTACCTTGACTAACTGCCAACCAAAGTGAGAAAATCCAATCTACTCTGTTATTAACACCTGTCTATAGTGAGAAGAAATGGCTTCATACCAGTCCAAGGCTATTTACATTGTTTGGATTCTTGTCCTCATCTTTACTGTCACATTCACAACGTTTCAGCCATTGTATGCTCTGGCCTTCTTCAGGAGATATTTGTTGGAATTTCAAAGTGAACACTTTATTTAGTCCGCGGGAGTAGCTTGTTCTAATTCCACGTGCTATGCCTCTTTTGGATATCTCAGTTTTAGTTGATTTGCCTTGGTAATTCTCCAAGTTTTTTTTTTCTCTCCACTGAGGCCAGCTATTGAACTCACAACTCATTGTGTCAAGTCACAATCTACCCCCCGTGGACTAAATAAAATTTTCAGTTCAAAATTTTAACAAATATCACCTGAAGATGGCCGTAGCATACAATGGCTGAATTGTCGTGAATGTGACAGTAAAGATAAAGACAACAGTATGACCATATGTAAATGTTCATTCTAAGGCTAATTGGGTGAAAGCAAAAGAAATGACCTGAACTACAATTTGAACTCAGCATGC